AGCAGTGAAAAGTTGAGTTAAGTTTCTGCATTCAGCAACACCAAGCCATTGGCTTTAGGGTCTGGGTAATACTGCGTAAACCGGGACCGTAGAAAGTGATAGCTTTACCAGTGGCGTCAGCTTTTGTATTTCCAACAACGATTCTTTTACTTCATTGATCCACTACCTGTAATACATGGATGCAATTGGCAATAAAACTACTTCTCTTTTGAAGCAAAAAGTTAGCGTTGATATAATTACGAGGAGGTGCTGAAAAGTGCAGTTTTTATTTCAATTTATTCAAAATTATGTCCTCAGTTAAAAGCTACCATACAATATCTCACAGCACCAAAACTTCAAAACAGCGATAAGTCAGATTAAGTCACCGCTTTCATTTAATCCATATGTCGTTGTTTTTTTTTCTTTTTTGCTTTTATATATTTCTTTTTAATAATTTCACCCCAAGAAAGGCGATAATGTCACTAAGACAGCAGAGGACGCAAGAAACCGGAAAAGTTCCACGTGTGAGAAGTTCGAGGAGACAAGTTATTAGAATAGAACATACGATTACATCTAGTTATTTCAACGGTAAAAAGATGAGACCTAGTTTCCAATCTAGTAATACGTTTAAATTATTGCAGTCGAGATACTATGTATGACTTCCTCGGTACATTAGAACAATTGCAACACTTGCTGTAGATTTATAAAATGCAAGATGGATTCTCGCGAGAAAAATTCCCTTGTACGAAACAGTGAACCAATTTTCCTAGCAGATGACCTTGCAGTTGATTCAATATACCCATTCTAATTCATATGTCAGCGGAAAACGTGAGGCCAAGAAGTTACTTTCCTGGAGATCAGCATCAGCCATGCTGATGGAAGGCCAAAATTGTTCTTTATGATGACTAAAATACAGAAGTTCTTTTTAGAGGTGTTAAAATATAGAAGCCATTACTTGCACCAGTTAACAATTGATTGGAGGCTGTTTTCAAGTTCAACTGTCAGTTTTACTTTAACGGACCTATCGATCTTATTTGAAAGACAGGACTAAATAGTGTTAAGAGAATCAATTTTTTATGAATGAAAATTCGCTGAGTTCTGCGTCATTTAGATCAAAGACTTTAAAGAACTCTTTGATGTGGTCGGATGACCCTACAAAGTGGACGTCTTTCATTCATGTATTCGTTGGTTGGCATCAAAATGAAGCGAGTTGGCAGGTGAAGTCAGTTGTAAAAGTCAGTTTCACAGCGATTCGTTTACTGCCGTTCGCTGACTGCTTTACGGGACAAGTAAACTATACCACAAAAACCCAACAACTCTTGACTGAAGTTGCTTTGCAGTAATTTTTTAAAGACTTGCCGGTAAACCTTTATGTTTTTTCCCTTTTTTTAGCCACTGACCAAATCACTAAAGTTAACACAAAACCTTTTTGTTTACTATAAAACTTAGTTGGTCTTCCTGTTGTTGATTTTCTTTATCTTCTTTCTTTTGTAGCACACGTGACAATAGTGACTAAATAAATATCTAGTTGGGCATTGATCACATCGGGAATGTCATTGATGAAGAAACAACGTAGATCCAAGGAAAGATAACCTGAGTGACCCTCCGCATGAATGGGAAAGGATCTAGAAGAAATGAAATAAAAGCAAGTCGTTATTTTTTTTTTTTAAGTAATTCATCCCGAGCAAAGCGGGAGTGCCACTAGCACACCAGGGGTTACAGAGGATTGACAACAAGAGTAAAGAGGCATGTTTGGGGAAAGAATACAGAGAAGGACGGGGAACAAGCTCGAGCTGTCAGATGTAGATTGACATTACACTTGAATATTTGAAGATTATAATAATCGAGGAAACAAGTAAGGGGAAGGGAGTTCCGCACACAGAAGGTACAGGAGAAAAAGCTGTTTGAGTAAAAGAGACAGTTACATTTAACCGTTTTGATAGTGGGACCGAGATAACAGCCTGGTAGCTCGCTTAGATTCATGCTGTCCGGGAACCAGCGTAAGTAACTCATCGGAACAGTTGCTGTGAAAATACTGTAGAAGAGACAGAGGGAAGCTACGGCACGTCTCTGGGATAGCGATTGTAGACTTGATACCAGATCAGGACCTATCATCTTGCATATTCGTCTCTGGATTTCGACGAGAACCTCGAGATGTAAAGAGGAAGCACCAGACCTTATATGACAGCAATATTCCATGCAAAGAAGGATGGTTGATTTATAGATTTAAAGGATGTACTCAGACGAGAAAAACTTTTTGGCACGACACAGAGAACCAACTTTCCTTGCAGTAGATGAAGCTATTGATTCAATGTATTTATTCCACCTCATGTCAGCAGACAGCATGACACCAAGCAGGTGTAATGAGGTGCTCTGGAGGAGTTGGGAATCAGCCATTCTGATGTGAGGCAGGGAGGGTTCACTGTGGTGGGTGAAGGAAAGCAGTTTAGTTTTGGAGGCATTAAAGTTTACAAGCCATTTCCTGTCCCAGTCAACCACAGATTGGAGGTCCTTTTCGAGATCAGCAGCCGGGTTAGTTTTGTCAACGATACCAGATTTGCTATTAAGGCAGGAATAAATCTGTAATTCAGAAAATAAGTAAATTTTAATTTGCAAAGGACCAACTGAAAATTTTATATAAGATTTCCTTAAGTGTGTGCCACGGACAATAATCGAAAATTTTAGTCATACGTTACATTCGATCGTATATACGTCCTCCATGACAGTTTAAAAACCCATTAACGACGATGGCGGGAATTTCAGCCATTGCAGTTTCGTAAAATACATCTATTGGATGCTTTAGTAGACATCATCATTGATATTTCTAGCCGAGATTCATTAGGGGGTTCGGATCTTTCAACATCATATCCCCTCTCCATGGTGACTCAGCCAATACTGTGTACCTTCCGTCAGCTACAATTTTTCCATCTTCCGAAGTACACACCATACGACTCTTCTTAGCAATTTATTGTCCAATCGCGGTTCCGGTTCACCAGCAATGTAACTCAGCGTTAACGTCGAATATTTAATCGTTTTATTGTGAGCTTGCTAAAGAAAAGGATGTGCATACATCGTGTAGGCGCTTCGGTGTTGGATAAGAATATCGATGTGAGGATAGCGTAACTGTTAGCGACGTGAAAAGTGGAATCGGCGATCCGATCACTTTCGCACTAATATATGTGGGGGAAAGGCACAAATACATTTATTCTCCTTGCTTCCAGCTATGGGTTAAATAGTAGTGGGCTCTCTTGCCTTGGGTGACAATCTGGGAGAAAGACTATTTTGAATTCAAAACTGTGAAGAAGACAACGGGAAACCACTCCACCATCTTTTTACAAGAAGTGATGTCAATTCAAAAATAATAAAGAAAAGGACTATAAGAAGAGGCCTGATCGTCTACTTTCTGAAAGGATATAGAATTAAAAATAAAAATAAGTGATTTTGATGCTCACCAAGTGCTCCATACAACATTAAATAATTCAACAAATGATGTCATGTCGTAAAATCAGCCATGCAACTTACAGGACAAGATAAAATGACAGAGACGGTGCTAGGACTGAACAGTGATATAAATTACATTTTAAAAGTAAAGAAAAAAAGAAAAAAGGAAAAGAAGTTTCAATCCATCTATCTAGTGTTTAATGTTTCAATAATAGATGACGTGTTTTCTGTAGACTACGTTTACATTACGGATTGTTCTAAATTGTGTGTGGTATGTATTACACATTCTCTACGACGTCATTGAAGACTCAGTCGACTGGATCGTGATTTGATCAAGTTTCATTAATGAGAATAAGTTAATAATATAAATTTAAAATGTTCATGCAAATATATGAAGCACTTTCAGTATGTTTGTAGTCGTTCACACGAATAGGAAACTTTTTATCAACATTACTAAGTATTATAACTACGTGAGCATAAATTCAGTTGTCAAGAGTTCTTTTTGAATTAAGATACTGTGAAAAAAATTTTATGCAAAAAGATGCCGTGAATCGGAAAAAAGATTCTGTAGCGTTGTGTTAAAACCGTGTTAAAGACGCTAGATAGATTAGGAAAAATATTTTGGAAATTCAGTAAACTGTTCTTGTATGTTCTTGTATGCATACAAATTTTATAAAGTGTATACAATATTTAACTATTTTTATTCGAAAGTCAAGTTCATCTTTAGGAAAATAAAGATTTAGAGTTAAGTATATAGCAAAACTCAGCAGTTATGGAAAACGCATGTAACACAAGCATCTTGATATCTAAATTACCGAGTATAAAGCTTACAACTACTTTTAAAAAGTTCTTTTCATTTATTAAACAATAATAATAACAACAACATGCCCTGATATTGAATTAGGCATAGGTGTCATGGCTTTTGATCTGAATTCATTGGCGGTGTTAACGTGAAAATATTTTGTCTTGCTGGATCTAGATGGGCTACAATATCGCTCTTGTTCCTTACCGCAGACTTGATTGTCAGTTGAGTATGTTCGTTAAGCCGTGATGCACTCTGTCCATGAGCGGGAGTAGTAGAAAGTATCATAGCAGTATGTCAAATCTAGTTACTTGGAAACAAATCAAGCTCTCTGAGTAGACTGGGTAACCGGACCTAGGAGTATTTTCTAAATGGGCTCCACCTACAAGGTTATGCGCTGCTTTTATTAAAACTTGTCACCATTTTTGTTATCGAGCACATTTTGCTGTGATGCCTGGTATAACCTTATCACACCGAGTATCATGACGGGTACATTGGGCTTCATATATTGGTACCTAGGAGTCAGTGTGTTGGCTCTTTTAAATAATAATAATAAGAAGAATATAATAATAATAATAATAATAATAATAATAATAATAATAATAAGATAATGATGATGATAATCATTATCATCAGATGTATTTTTAATAATAAACATACAAAGAAAATGTAATCATTTTCTATGATTTAGATGTCCATCCCAAACATTGTTTAAACAATTAGAAAATATATCATTCTATTTTGAGGATAATATACCAACATCATTTTTCTATTACAGGTCGGAATGGTTTGGAGCAGCCCTGCTATTCAGGCCGCATTACTGCACAATAATGGTCCTGTGATTTCTGGGAACTCTTCTGGTATAGCTAAACAAGCCTCAGATGCCAACGGTACCGGAATGACTTCATTCGGATTTAACGCCCCATTCTCAGTGGCCGGATGTTCGTCTTGGCAGCCAGTCAACCACGTCCTGTTTCAGTTGGCAAACGCTGCCCTCGGCATTGGACTGATGGCTCCCGATGGAACATATGGTGTTCTTTTCCTGCATAGCACTTTCCTTCTCGGTAAGGAATTATCCCTTTCATTACTTCCCTTTACTTCTCCGCTGACAAATTTTACCAAAGTGCGCATGCTTGCAAAATAGGAAAATTTCGAATATACTGTACTTGGTTGAATTGGATGATTTAGGTTAGCGGTATATCGACATCTATGGGTTATTTAATGCCGAAATCTAAATATTTTATACTATAAGTATGTGTTGTTGGTAATTTTTTTTTATATAAAAATGTATTGCTGGTATTTTTATCATAAAAATGTACTTTTATGCTTTCATGGTGTTTTGTTTGTGGAGGGGTCACTATTTACCCATAGCTGAGACCCTAACAGATGCTACCACCCCTATTCAGGGTGGATCTGGGAGCAACAGCAATTAAGAGGTGGTTTCACGCTCCCCAAAACCTTCAATCTCTCGATCAGAGGCCTCGGTACCGGATGTAGTTTATCATCATACCTAGAACTATTAATCAAAGGAATCGAGGGGTGGGTAGGAGGGTTGAAATATAGTCACGTAGAGAAAAGAAAACCTGAAACCTCTTTTTCATACACTGCTTTTTTGGGGGGAAGGGGGAGAGTGTTACGAATTTACCTTGCCCTCTCTGGTGGCGTGGAATGGGTATATAAGTGACACTTAAACATCATAGCTATTACTTCTGCTTTCTTACACGACAGATTAACGACTAGATTTTCTCTTCGACCAGTGAGAACTCCGACTGCTTCTTTGCTCATCTCTGACCTCACGACCCCTCTGTTTTGTGTGATGCGGAGATATTATCTCTGAGTTGGAATCACCTGGGAGCAGGCTCTCTTCATTGTTCCTGTTAAAAGATTAATTATTTCCTTCAGTTTCGATCATTCAACGATTTTGGGATAATTACTGACATTAAAAGGAACAGAAAAATATATTGCGTTTTAAAGTGGTCGAATACTTTTCTTTTGATCTGTAAAACTTTGAACATTTTTCTTGACAGATCTTATTTCTATTTTTAGATTTTTAATTGCATAAGACATTTTTACGATTTCTCATTTATCATTTTTCTTTAATTTTGTAATTTTACTGATTCTCCTCAATTGAAATCGTTTCGAAGATTCTTCTTTTTGTTTTTCGTGTTTGTTGTCGACAGAACTTTGTAGAGTTTTGTTTCTGTTAGTTTTTTTTCTCTCTCTTTATATCTTATTTGCCCTGTAAATGTAAAATCGGAAAGCTAGTCACTGTTCTGCTTTGTTACGTTATAGGAAGATTTTGCTTCTGTAATTTTTAGTTTATGCGTTTGGCTGAAGTTCATCTTTTCATCACAAAGAATGCAAAAACAAATGTTATGTGAAGAAAGTTTCTGGTTTGGTTTGTTTGGTTTGGTTTGGTTTGTTTGGTTTGGTTTGGTTTGGTTCGATTAACGGCATATCAACTCCTTATGGATCATTTAATGTTAAAATTTAATTTTCTTGGGAGCCTTGGTAATTTTTTTTTTCGAAAATGTATTGCTGGTAATTTTTCTCTTCCTTTTTCAATTACAGCCGGTATATTTTTTTTAATATGAAAATGTATTGCTGGTATTCTTACTATAATAATGTATTTTTATACTTTCATAATGTTTTGAACCCAGTTTTTTTTGGTGAGGGGATCACGTTCTGGTCATAGCTGGGATCCTAACAGGTGCTACTACCTCTGGTCAGAGTAGACCTGAGAACAGCAGCAATTAAGAAGTGGTTCCATGATCCTCAAAACCTCCTAATCAGAAACTGCTGCCGGATGTAGTTTATCGTCATACCCAGGACGTAGTTTCGTTTGAAACTGCACGCACACACACACACACACACACAAACGCATACACGTACATACATACACACACGTGTGCTCACGCACGTACATGCACATGCAGAGAAAGAGAAACATTTAGTCAGTTAAAATATTTATTCCTTTTGAATTAGCAAGGATCAACGAATATTATACAAATATCATCTTTTTTTCTTCCTCTTCTGTGTCGCGTTCGTTTAAGACGTCGGTGATCATGGCTCTCCACTATTTCTTGTCCGTTGTAGCTCTTACATAAATTTTGTCTTTTTGCTATATCTTCTAAACCTTTTTCAGCCATCCATTACTAATTATAATGATAACTGTTACAACGTTTTTCTTCCCTAGACTCTTTGTGGAGCATGGGGAGAGCCGCAACCACACAGTAATGTTGCTAAGGTTTCAGCAGCAAGTGATTTTTTACGGGTGCGGATTTCTAGCCCCGCGCCAAAATAAGGCCTACTTTATTACAGGGCAACAACTACCCTGCCATTTCCTCACAGTTGGAGTGGTGGGTGGTGTAGTGGATTAATACCTTTCCAAATGGAATTAATGCAAAATAAACGCAAACTCTCTCGAGCGGATCTTGAACATTGTTCTGCAATTCTATTCATTAACCTATTAAGCCATCGACACTTCCACTGTTACAACGCAATTAGTACATATGAAGTTTAATTATTTTTTATCGTATATTCATAATTCCACAGATGAAAATCCTACTACATATACAGAAATTAATTTGTAAACTAGCTATACGAATATAAGATAGAATTTGAATTAAATCTTAGTCGTTAGTAAAAAACAAAACAAAAAAAACAAATTGAAATAAATTACGATAATAAACTCGTGTATAAGCCGACTTCATTTATAGTACGAGCACTGAATTTTTTTGCATGAATTTTAACACCTCCAGAAAAAAAAAAACTATGGATCTGTGTTTAGTGCAAATCATCATAGAAAATGCATAATTTTAATCTCTCAAAAAAAAAAAAAAAAAAAAAAAAAAAAATTCTGTGTATAGATACAAAAGGTTACAGAGTGTGAAAGAATTAAGAACAGAAACATTAATATTAATGACCGGGAAGAGTTTCTTTATACGAGATTGGTTCAATAAATCCATTGCCTAATACGTAGTTTTTGACCGAATTTTGATCTGAAAAATTCACTGTATAATATTCGCTCAATGGGATTAACATTCTCCACCGAATTATGTGCAATGACACAGAAGACCATTATGTTAAAAATGAAATTATTGTGTAAAAGCTTTTTGCGATATATTCCTTTTTCATCATGAGGCTGCAAACTTATTGATGTACCTATGTATACGAATAGTGATTAAATTCTTTTTCATGTATTCGCTTTGATCTATTCACTAATATCATCTTAAATCCCAGGAGCCTATTTGCACGGACATTTTCATTTTCTTGGTTATCACAAATAGGTGTAACAATATAATTTCTTTTCTTTCTTTCTTTCTTTCTTTCTTTCTTTCTTTCTTTCTAAGACTGTTCATTATCTATCTATCTATCTATCTATCTATCTATCTATCTATCTATCTATCTATCTATCTATCTATCTAAGATCTAAGACTATTCATCTATCTATCTATCTATCTATCTATCTATCTATCTATCTATCTATCTATCTATCTAAGACTGTTCATTATCTATCTATCTATCTATCTATCTATCTATCTATCTATCTATCTATCTATCTATCTATCTATCTATCTATCTGGCTGTGTGTGTGCGTGTGTGTGTGTGCACGTACACTGTATGACTGGACAGGTGACAAGGACATGTTGCTGATTCTAAAAAGAACTTTTGTATTTTATACGACATCAAAGCTTTTCCCTTGTGCAAATATATCAACATCGGAGAACTAATGAAATATGAACTGTGAAATAATAAAAAATAAAACAATCATGATATATAAATAACTGGCAATACGTGATATTATTATCGTTAACTCGATTTACGAATTTCGTTTTAGAATATGAGTCATACGGAATGGATAAATAAATTTGATTAGTGTAAAAACTTGAATGGAATACTTCATTTTTTCTTAACAGATATCGTGTTGGACATCCATTTCAAAATCTAAATTCAGTCCTTAACTTACCGAAAACCATTTTTTACACTTTCTTATAAATAAACAAGTTTAGTTATCATCTTGAAAAATACAGAATTCAACAGTTTTGACGCAAATATTCATATAATTTACATTGTTTGCAAAAGTGTCATATCAGAAACGTATATCAAAATTATCACTAAGGTATTCCCTCGGGGTAGATTTAGAATACTATTTCGATCTATAAGAATCAATACAAGTTCAAATTTTAAATTCATAATTCTATACCAGCCACTTTACTTTTACCAGTAAAATCTTTAAGCCTTTGAAAAATATGATATGATGATATGATATATGTTATGATGATACGATGCTAAAGTGTAGGTTGCATTACTTGGGAATGGTTATTGCTTTTCATCTGTTTATTTCAACTTTAAAGCAAGAGGGAGCTGTATGGACACTTATTTTCAAATAAAGTAAGTCTTTTAATTCCTCGGCTGGTATCCTGTATTCCTTGTTGGAGCAAGAACTCTTATTAATTATCTTTTTTTATTTTTAATTCCGAAAGGAATTCGTATATTCCTGTGATTGTAAAATTTACTACACTGATGTGGTATAAACATCATCAGTACAATCTTCACTGATCTGGTCTTTTGAACAGGAGTATAGGTTTGTCCCTTATTTCCTGTTTAGAATTGAGTTTCCGGTTCCTTTTAAAGTCTTTTCATTCTCTTCTATTTCCAGTAGTCTCTTGCATCTTAGTGGCATTATCACTTTACTTGAGGCAAATTCAGTAAAAGTATTTCCTCTAAAATTCATTAAAATTCATTATTCATTAATGAATACATTCATTCATTCGTCTTCTTCTTCTTCTTCTTCTTCTTCTTCTTATTATTATTATTATTATTATTATTATTCCGATTTCTGCTATCGAAAGGCAGGTAGTAATGTGCTTTTATGGCTACATTTCATAATTTGTTTTTCTAACTCCCATAACATCACTAGCGTTACATGGACAAAGTTCTTCTTAGTGTGTGGGATGTACTTATCAAGACAATTTTTTGTAATTCTCTTAAGCTGGGATTTCTAGGGATGTGCTGTTGTGCTCCTTTTTTATTATTCCAAGCGCACCTACTCTGATTCGTACACTTCTTGTTTTCAATTTCTACATTTTTTTTCTATTTCGATTTCCAGGTATTTATACTTCGTTAGTTTTCAAATTCCTTAGTTGCTATGTCACAGTCCGCTGGGTAAGCCATATCAATTAGTAAGCAAATTTTTTTTCTTTTCAGTTTTTGACAATTATGTCCGGCCTATTTGCTTCAATCTTCCTGTTTGTAAAGATGGTGGAATCCTATAGAATTGTGATGTCTTCTATTTCTGTAATCGGTGCTGGGTGATGTTCATACCAAATGTTTGTTAAGATCTTTTCCAAAGTCTTTGTACATTGTCCAGTGTAAATATTGCCCCAATCTATCGTGACGATTTTTATATTCATTTGGCGCAAGTACAGAGCATCCTGAGATTAGACGGTCTATGATTTTCCTGATACTTGTCACAGAACCTTCATTTTGGATCCGCATTATTATGTATAATATTTGCCTGAAAGTTCCTTGTGAAAAGACTCTGGTCTTGCGATTACAAGAAGAAAGCCTTCCGTTTCAGTCTTTAATCCAGATGCTCGTAACCATCGTTGGTCATTATTATTATTATTATTATTATTATTATTATTATTATTATTATTATTCATTCATTCATTCATTCATTAAAATTCATTAAAAAGAACATCCTCTAAAATATTTGTCAATCACATTGTTTTTTGGCGTTTTTATTTAGTTTTTCAGCATTGCTGTTTTCAATAATATCACCCAAATGTTTGGTACTCCATAAGAGTGAAATCTCATACATGTGTAAAGACATTAAGTTGCGCGTTTGTTACAGGAGTCAATTGTTTGTAGGGATGTTGGCTCATTCGTTGAATGAATATAGGGATATATATATATATATATATATATATATATATATATATATATGTGTGTGTGTGTGTGTGTGTGTGTGTGTGTGTGTGTGTGTGTGTGTGTCATATTTGGTAGTGAAGATATTCTTGTAATTACTTGAGGGTTTTAGGACGGGAGACATTATAGTGATAGCATTGTGCTGCATGCAATAACATATAGTTCGTTGCGGGGCTAATAAGTCTCTCGCTGCAGGGATGATCCATATCTTGTCCTTACAGCATCCTATGGATGAAAAGTGAAACAAGAGAAAGTTGTTTTATGCTTTTTTTCCCTTTTATACCGCTCTATACAACACTTAGAAGTTAAGAGAATTTCCCTGGCAGACGAGATGGAGTCATCTCAGACTTACAAAACTTTATAAAAACTATGTAAATTTACTGGATTTATGAATCTGATTAATATAAATTTTTAATCGTTCATTGTTGAAATATCGCTTTCTTTCTTTCTTTTTTTTAAATTATATCCCCCTATACAAAAGAGCTACCACGAAGGTACAAGGGGTTACTGAGTGTGAAAGAATAAGAAAAATGAGAAACATTATTAAGGAACGAGAACAAGAAGCGTACCTCAAGGGGACAGAAGATAACGATTGACATTGCATTTGAATTTTTGAAGATGAAAATTGATTGGAAAGCAAAAAGCCGGAAGAGAGTTCCACAAGCGATAGGTACGAGAAAAAAACTGTTAGCATAGAACTTACGGTTACATCTAGCCAATTCAACTGTGACTTGATGAGAAATTGACGCCAATTTACTACTATACCGAAGAATTCATCAGAACAATTACCATGAGATTATTTTTAGAAAAGGGACAGAGAGGTAACTTTATGGCGATTGGAAAGTGACTGAAGCTGGGATGCCACATCAGGGCAAGTAATATTGCTGATTCTTCTTTGGATTTTATCAAGAATCTCTAAATATACAGCAGGATCACCGGACGTCATGTGGCAACGTTATTCGAATGGTAGAGTTATAAATATGTAAGATAGATTCTGGAGAGAAAAATTGTCTAGCATGACACTACCTTTTTTAGCAGTAGACCTAGCAATGGATTCAATATAATTTTTCCACTTCCTATCAGCTGAAAATGTTAGCTCGAGAATGTGAAAAGCGTCACTCTCATGGAGGTTAATATCAGCCATGCTGATGGGGGGTAGGATGAGACTTACAATTGAATTGGCTAGATGTAACCATCATTTCTATGCTAACAGTTTCTTTAGTCGCACTTCTCGTTTGTGGAACTATCTTCCAGATCGATGCTTGCCAATTTTCATCTTCAAAAATCTAAATGCAATATAAATCGTTATCTGCTATCTTCTTGATTACTCTTCTTTTATTGTCCTCTCTACTTAATAATGTTTCTCTTTTTCTTATTCTTTCATACTCAGTAACCACTTGTGTCTTAGTGGCTTTGCTGCCTTGTTTAGCGATGAAACGATTAAAAATATATTCAAATTTAAATCGCGAAGAATTCTTTCAACAGTTTTATATGAAAGTTTGCAGAAGCAAATATGATAACTTTAAAAAAGTTAGAGAGTGAAAGAAAGAAAAGTTAATTGACTTTCTAAAGTCAAATTATGTTACGTAAATTCAAACGTTGGTAAGGTATGGCAAATTAAAGTTAGCATTTGAAACACTTCTAGAAATGCCTGAGGGAAATAAGATTACATTATCAGCCATTTTATGAGTTAGTGGCATATACAAGGGAGTAAAATGAGAAAGTGACATAAAGTGAGAGAGAAGGAAAACGAAAGAGAGAGGAGAATATGAGAGAAAGAGAGACAGAGTGACACTTCCAATTCTGATTCGTTGGTACTCAACCAGGTTTAATATTCACTCATTTCTTAAGCCGTTCACATGGTGCAAAAATTAATGCGCGCAACACAGCGAGAAAATAGGATTCAAATCATCGAAATTTAATCCAGTAATTTTTTCGAGGCAACATCTTTATCTCTGCTGCGTTTGTCACCAATTTAATTGCATTTCCATCGATCATATTCAACTGACATTTTACATACTCATATCGCAGGGTATATAACTCTTGAGCAAAGAAAATAATAGCGGCACAATTTGTAGAGTTTAGCTCATTACCGAGAACTTAGGCGTACAAAATTCACCTTTTTCTTACATTCCGTTTTCTGATAGCAAATTATTTACTACCCAGACAGCGACAAACGTTAACAAGCATAAATATCAAAAAGTAATATAAACAGATAATTTATGGATAAATACACGTGGGCAGATTTTTTTAAGATTGTAAACCTGAGATAAAAAGGGAACATATTTAATTGATATTGGTAAACACTTCAGGATATACTTACGTTATTTACATTATTCAGACTGTTATCTTCATCTTCATTGCTATATCTACAACGTTTCGGCCGTTGTACGCTCCGTCCTTCTTCAGGTGATTGGAATTTCCGGAGCGTACAACGGCCGAAACGTTGTGAATATGGCAATGAAGATGAGGATAACAGTCCGAATGATGTAAATAATGTAAGTAATCATAATACCTCATCTCAGAGATATAGACAGATACTTCAGGATATACAAATATCTAAACAAGCAACATACTGTGTAATCATTTGTTTTGTTTATCTATCAATATTTCTTTTTAAGGATGTGTGCCGGTAATGGAACGAGAAATGAGCGT